CAGAAGATGTGTATACTGTGGTCATAAAGGGATGGACATGGTCAGCAACAATACTCAGGTAGGCTGTGGCATTGACACAATGCTCTATTGGCACTAATGGGCCCAAAGTGTGTCACACATTAAACCCCCACCAACAGCCTGAATCGTTGATACAAGGCAGGATGGATCCATGCTTTCATGTTGTTGATGACAAATTCTGACCCTACCATCCGAATGTCACAGCAGAAATCAAGATTTCACAGAACTGCCGCTCACTGGATATTTTCTCTTTTTCTGACCATTCTCTGTAAACACTAGAAATAGTTGTGCGTGGAAATCCCAGTAGATCAGCAGTTTCTGAAATACTCAGACCAGCCCGTGTGGCACCAACAACCATACCACATTCAAAGTCACTTAAATCACTTTTCTTCTCCATTCTGATGCTCAGTTTGAACCGCAGCAGATCGTCTTGACCATGGCTGCGTCCGAAACCGCCTACTACTCAGTAGGTACTGCATTTGAATTTAAACGTACTACTCGGCCGTTAGAAAAGTACGTTCTATACAGTATGAACGTGAAAAGCATGAATGGAATTCGGACGTACTACATCCGCCAGTTTGTCAATTGCATCGCTTTACTCCCATTCATGAATTCGCTCGCGGGGCATCATGGGATAGCGCAGCATGCATGGGATGTGCACTCTAGAATCTCGCCAGAAGTAGTAAGTCATCCTAGTACTTCTTGCATACTGTTTTTCGAATTCCATGAATTTGGACATACTTCTCGGCTCGCATACTGAATTTAGCGTACTATATAGTATGGAAGTATGCGGTTTCGGACGCAGCCCATGCCTACATGCCTAAATTCATTGAGTTGCTGCCATGTGATGGGCTGATTAGAAATTTGCGTTAACGAGCTGTTGGACAGGTGTACCTAATAAGACGGCCGGTGAATGTATGTGGATATTGTTATAGCATGTCTTTGTCCTATTATTTTGAAAAGAAGCAAGTTCAGACATTCATACTGCTGCAGGAGACGCCCAAGTGTTTGTGTTTGTGTGTGTGTGTTTGTGTGTGTGTGTGTGGTGTGTGTGTGTGTGTGTGTGTGTGTGTGTGTGTGTGTGTGTGTGTGTGTGTGTGTGTGTGTGTGTGTGTGTGTGTGTGTGTGTGTGTGTGTGTGTGTGAGTCAGTATGAGAATGTGAATGAGAAAGTAGTGTCTTAAAGGGACAGTTCACCTAAAAATCACAATTATGTCATTTAATCATCCTCATGTAGTCCATTTTAATCAGCATCTATTTAAAAGAAGTGGATTCAAGGTTTTGAGATTATTTTCTTCTTTTCTTTAAAGATTTTTGTTCAACCAGTATGCTATATTATATCATGTTTATAATAATATAATATAATATAATATAATATAATATAATATAATATAATATAATATAATATAATATAATATAATATAATTTGAGGTGACGCAGTGACGCAGTAGGTATAGTGCTGTCACCTCACAGCAAAAAGGTCGCTGGTTCAAGCCTCGGCTGGGTCAGTTGACGTTTTTGTGTGGAGTTTGCATGTTCTCCCTGTGTTCGCGTGGGTTTCCTCCGGGTGCTCCGGTTTCCCCCACAGTCCAAAGACGTGTGGTACAGGGGAATTGGGTAGGCTAAATTGTCTGCAGTGTAAGAATGTGAATGAGTGTGTATGGTTGTTTCTCAGCAATGGGTTGCGACTGGAAGGACATCCACTGTGTAAAAACATATGCTGGATAAGTTGGTGGTTCATTCAGCTGTGACGTCCCCAGATTAATAAAGGAATAAGCCGAAAAGAAAATGAATGAATGAATGAATGAGTATAATTTTATATAATATAATATAATATAATATAATATAATATAAGGTAATATAATATAATATAATATAATATAATATAATATAATATAATATAATATAATATAATATAATATAATATAATATAAGGTAATATAATATAATATAATATAATATAATATAATATAATATAATATAATATAATATAATATAATATGTATTATATTATAAAAAAAAAAATTCATTAAGTAAAAAACAAACAAACAAAAAAAAACAAACATTAAAATGTAAATACATAAATCGGTTAGTAAGATATCTGCATAAGTAAGTCTTTTGTTGATTTGTTGTTTTTAAAGTAATTATATATACCTGGACTATAAAGACACCTCTCATTTTATTTTTGCACACACTAGTCTTGTTTTCTGTAACACCAAGAAGCATTTCTTTGGCTAGTCTTTCCGTGGTTTGATCCCTGCCTTTTACAGTTTATATTTAGTCTTTGCCACTTGCACTGACCATTCGCCTGTAACTTTGACTACGCTTCTGGATTAACCATTTGTTTGTACCCATTTGACCATTACCTGCCCGACCATTCTCTGTTTAATAAACTGCACGTGGATCCTTTATTCCGTTGTCCAGGGTCCATACCTTACAGTTTTATTGGGTCAGTGAACCCAGTACTTTATATAACATAAGTATCGACATTTTTAACCCCCTAATGAATCTGTATTGTTTCTAATATTTATTATGGTTAATTCAATAATAAATTGATCCCAATCACTAAAACTGCAGGACATTCTAGTGTGATTTTTATGTCTAAAAAGTGTCTTTGTCAATCAGTCTGTCTCTATCTGTCTCTCATGTCTGTGTGTGGATCTTCTGGAGTGATATTTGATTTGAAAGTGCAGATTTGCTTCTCATGACTGTTTTGTTGCCTGTGGTCAGTGGAGAGTCACGGCTGTGTGTGTGTGTGTGTGTGTGTGTTTGTGTGTGTGTTTAGAGGGCATCTGAATCACTCCACTATGCATGAAAAGCTTTTAGGCAGCGGGCCTGCCAGGCACCCAGCTGTCAATTTATTTGATTTGAATTGTGGAATGGAGTTATGAAGTGTGAAACGTCAGGGCTAAAATGTTTTGATTACCCTCATACACTGTGGCCATCAATTTCCATCATTCTCCTCTGAGATTTGACGTATGTGCATCTTAGCATGAACACGGCTATTTCTAATTTAGTTTAGTAATTTTTGTGGTGACTGTTAATCCTTTGTTGGATATTGTTTGGCAAAATTTAGATGCTCAAAGCAGATCCTCGAGCCTCGTAAAAGTGTTTTAATAAGCGGGTTGTATTTACAATGCAGACTGCTGAATGTGCTTGTTATTCATTGTGTTCATAAAATAATTTTTGGGTTGCATTTCTTTAGTCTCTGAAATTATATATTTGAAAAGAACATCTGAAAGCAGAAAAGCCAAAGCAAATAAACTGCATCAAGATAAATTTTCAATGTTACAGTGTAAAACAGTTGATTTTGTTAAGAAAAGTAAGGCTCAACATTTAAATAAATAACATTTCTCCATACCTGAATGATCAGACTGATTCTTTAGAAAAGTAATAATGCTAATACTTTACAATGTTAGGCTAAAATGAGTGTTTTTAAAAAAATTCTATTTAAAATTTGACCGCTTTTGGCCAAAGCATGCTTTAAATATATTAAGTAGCTGTATGATCATTCAACAAAACCGAAAGCTTAGGCATTTGAGTTTGACATAATGGTTGATTATCAAAAGTTTGTTCATAATTAAGAACATATGGTATAGCAAATTTGCAAAAAAGTACTTTAAAAGTGTAGAGTTACTTTCAAAATCCTAATAAATATACATTCAGCCAGTATTATATACTTTTTTTGAGCTGGAATCCTATAAATCCATCTAATAAAAAAAGATAAATAATAATAGCTTAAAAACATAATTGGGTAATAATATGATATAATATAATATAATATAATATAATATAATATAATATAATATAATATAATATAATATAATATAATATAATATAATATAATATAATATAATATAATAGTCCCGTGTTCCATATGCTTATGTTTTCATCATGTGACCTTCCCCATGTGCTCCTTTGTTCTGTTTCCCGCCATTTCTCAATGTTCATTAGTTCCACCTGTGTTTCTCCCCTGTGTATCATCAGTATCATCATGTCCTTGTGTATTTATACCCCTTAGTTTGGTTTAGTCCCTTGCCCGGTATTCTACATTGTGCATTGTTTTGACCCCATGTCGTGCCTGATTCTCCTATGTTTCCTTTGACTTCCAAGTGAGTGTTAGTAAATAAATCTACATGTTTGATAAATCCTGTGATCCTTCGCCTTTCTGAGAGAGCCCAGATGCCCTCAGATTGTTTGGAAGTGACTCTATAGACAAATATATAATATAATATAATATTATATAATATTATATTATATTATATTATGTTATATTATATTATATTATATTATATTATATTATATTATATTATATTATATTATATTATATGATACAATAATATAATATATAATATAATATAATATAATATAATATAATATAATATAACATGCCCTCATATAGTTTAGAAGTGACCTTTTAGACAAATATATAATAGTATAATAGTATAATATAATAATATAATAATATAATATAATATAATATAATATAATATAATATAATATAATATAATATAATATAATATATAATATAATATGCCCTCAGATAATTTAGAAGTGACTCTTCAGACAAATATAATATAATATAATATAATATAATATAATATAATATAATATAATATAATATATTATAATATAATATAATAAATATATTATAATATAATATAACAAACATGCATAATCTACAAAAATCTTCTTTTAATATAGTTGAGTTCAAAATTTTGATATCTTTCAAAATCCGGTCAACATTAGCCATCTTTTCAATAAACATGAATCTAGCCAATATTACAATATTTTTAAAGCTGGAATCAAGGTTGTCATCTAATAAAAAAACTTGAAAACCATCTTAAAAACATAATCAGGTAGTATTTTGTAGAGAGAAATTAAGACATTATACAAAATCAATGCAACTGCAGTAGTTTCTAAATAATATTGCACTGAAGCTGCCTGAAAAATCTGACGGTTTCTTCTCTTCTCTGTTGTTAGATCGCCTATAAGGCTCTTAGCTCTCTGGATCCCACTGCGGATTTGACAACACAGCGAGGCCGGGTCTTCAAACTCCAAAACGAGACCCATCATCTCTTCGTTGGGTTGTATCCAGGGACCACATACTTCTTTACTCTAAAAGCCAGCACAAACAAAGGCTTCGGCCCACCTGTGACCACCCGTATCACCACCAAGATCGCAGGTGAGGAAACAGCAGACTCAGGTTATCGAGTATTTTCCAACAGCGTTAATGATAATTACACAGAATTGTAGCAAAACAGACCCTCAAGTCCCAGTTTAATCGAGTTAATGTGACAGACATTTGTTCTTTATGGATATAGAGCATTGACGTCGGACAGGCTGATGATAATGTATGAAATTATTTCAGGGAACATGAACCGACGAGGTTAAATAAGCTTAATTTGATTGCTTGCCTAATTATCACTTGCATTTCCCAAATTTGCATAATTAGTTTTGTCGTTTTGACTTTTTCCTCGTATCTTAAAGAAGCTTTGCTGGAGCAAGAATCTCATTAGTGTGTTGTGTTATTGGCATAAATATCGTCGGGATACAGTTAATGTAAAGTGAATGGAATAATGAGAATATGAATCGTAAACAACATCCTCCACAAGTTCAACCCAATTTCTGTGGCCTGCGGCTGTCAGCTCGTCGCGTCTCATAATGACGTGGCATTTGTGCTGCACGCCAGACACCATTTATTAAAAGCGTATTGTTCACTGAATCTAAACACTGTAATGAGAGAGTGACATTTTCAGTGTGATTACATAGTAATGACCTTCGAGTCAGGCTTCAAAACACCGGGCTTTCTCCGTAGGAGGAAATTCTGCGAAAGGAATGTTTTTACAAATACATGAATATTAAATATGCATAATATTAAAACAGAGTTTTATATGCGTTTGACTGGAAGTTGCGATATCTGAGCTTGGATATTTACAGCATCTGCAACATCATTGCAATAAAACACTATTTTATTGTGTTTCCCTGCAAAAAATACTTATTGTAGGATTCATTAAAGCCTGTTTACTTTTCCAATATGCTTTTCCCAATTCATTATTTCCCTAAGGATTGACAAAAACTTTCTTAAAGCTTTATTAGCTAGGAACCAAACCAGCCAGCTATGAGGAGAATCACAACAAATACTGCAAATGTATTACAAGTATGTGAAACATAGACACTTCCTATTGTATTTTAAAACAAAGCAAATAAAATATAAACCTATTACAATAAAGTTGTTTATTATATCTATTAAAACAGTAAGTTTTATGTTGAATGATGTGATACATAGTTGAAATCAGAATTAAATTTTAATTTTAGATTTAATTTAGATTTAAATTTAATTAAATCTGTTAAATTTGAATTATGGCGACGCTGTGGCGCTGTAGGTAGTGCTGTCGCCTCACAGCAAGAAAGTTGCTGGTTCGAGCCTCAGCTGGGTCAGTTGACGTTTCTGTGTGGAGTTTGCATGTTCTCCCTGCGGTCGCGTGGGTTTCCTTCAGGTGCTCTGGTTTCCCCCACAGTACACATCCGGTACAGGTGAATTGGGTAAGCTAAATTGGCCGTAGAGTGTGAATGACTGTGTGTGAGGATGTTTCCAGATGGGTTGCAGCTGGAAAGGCATCCGCTGTGTAAAAACGTATGCTGGATAAGTTGGCGGCTCATTCCGCTGTGGTGACCCCCGATTAATAAAGGGACTAAGCCGAAAAGAAAATAAATGAATGAAAATTCGGATTGTTTTATAATTTTTTCCCAATTTTTGTATATATACATCTGTATCTATCTATCTATATATATCTATATATATATATATATATATATATATATATATATATATATATAGAGTTGAAGTCGGAAAAAGTCTTTTTTGTTTTACTTTGGCTAGAATAAAAATGGTTATGAATTAAAAAAAAAAAAACATTTTTGGGACAAGATTATTAGCCCCTTTAAGCTAATTTTTTTTTTTCAATTGTCTACACAACAAACCATCATTTTACAATAACTTGCCTAATTACCCTAACCTGTGTAGTTCACCTAATTAACCTAGTTAAGCCTTTAAATGTCACTTTAAGCTGTATAGAAGTGTCTTGAAAAATATCAAGTAAAATATTATTTACTGTCATCATGGCAAAGATAAAATAAAGCAGTTATTAGAAATAAGTTTTTAAAACTATTATGCTTAAAAATGTGCTGAAACAATCTTCCCTCCATTAAACAGAAATTGGGGAAAAAATAAACAGGGGCGCTAATAATTCTGACTTCAACTATATATATATATATATATATATATATATATATATATATATATATATATATATATTATCATAGGTAGGCAAATAATTTTCTTTGACTGTACATAGCTATGAAAAAAATTCTATTAGATTTTTTTAAATAACAAGTGCTAAAAAAAAAAAAAAGTTTTGTTTGTTGTGGGTGAACATTGATTCCTCAAATCCTCATACAATTGATCTGCTGAAAAGTCTGGCTTTAAAAGTTGATCAGTTTTCTTTATTAAAAATCACTTTCTTTACTTCTAGAACCCAACCGTTGCACACTATATAACATTTATTATCGCAGAAAAATTTGTAATTTTATACTTGCAAAGAACTTTCATTCATGCTTGCATTACAGAAAGCGATGAAATGTGCAAAGCTTTTATAACATCAATTTCTCATCCGTTTGTCCTTGTCACTTGAAATGAGGTCTGCTGAGCTTTACAGTACGTGCTTTCTTTATATCCTCATAGTATGTGTCCTTTAACATGAATCTGTGTCTGCAGCTCCATCCATGCCTGAATATGAGACTGACTCTCCTCTCAATGAGACAGACACGACCATCACCGTCCTCTTAAAACCCGCTCAATCACGAGGAGCACCAGTCAGGTGAGTCTGTCTGTCACTTATTGCTTTTTCCAATCCAGGCTCATAGGGAATAAGTGTCCAGGACTACATTTTTGAGAACCAAAAAAATATGTAGCCTGGACTACGTTTTCTTGCAGTTTTTGTTTTCTCAAGTCCACTAGAGGGCGCAGTGTACATTTTTTGACCGTCTCAAATATGTTACTGCGGCATATTTTGTCATGCATGCCATTTTTCGTAAATCCACTAGAGGTCGCTGTATACGTTTGTTGCGCATATTAACGTTTTTTTTTTGTTCTCGTCCGTGAAAGAGGTCGGTCGGCTTGTCGTTATGCATGATATATCAGTTTAATATCGACTGGCCCACACACCACCTTCTCTAATCCCAACCGATAGTGTTTTTAAAAGCAGACTAGAAGAGAAAATCCATTGCAGCTCCATGCTTCTACCAAAACCTCATGCTGCTTCTTTTGTTTAGTTTTTCCTGGTTTCTTGAACCGTCCTTCGTCTGACATGAACCCCAGTCAGCTCCGCTCTGCTTCCTAATTATAGTGCCATTTGCGGTGAGTTATTGATAGGCCCACCTGGAATCTGCGCGTGCAGAATTCTGCAGATTTTTAGCCCATCATTTATTCTGTTGACTTGAGTAAATGTGTGTAAATCTATATTTGTTCGTTTTTTTTATTAATTTCAGTAATATTATTGACTAATGTAAAACTGTTAATCTACTTTTTTAAAATGCAGTTTGTACAGTATTATTTTCTGTCTATTACTAGATGTGTCATATGACAAACTTGCTTTATTTACCAAATAAAGTGGATCTAATTGGATTTGCGTTTTAAACATTAAATAAAAGTCAAAAAGATATTATTTTTTATTTCATGTATTAAGATTTTAGTTATGATACTCCCAAAATAATTCCGCAGAAATCCGCAGACTTTTACCAAATTCTTAGCAGAAATGGCAAAAAACATCCGCAGATTCCGTCTGGCCCTAGTTATTGAGCAAAACAGTCACGCCGGAGAAAATACGAAGGTAAACAGTCAGCGATACTGCCCCATATTGTTCGTTTTACACATATCATGCAACCATATGTACCCATGAGCACATATTTCTTGGTTCTCAAAAATGTACACCAGGGCACATTTACCCAATGAGCTATTGTTGGATTTTTCATTGATAATGTGTATGCATTTAACAGTCAAAAAAAAAAAAAAAAAAAAAAAAAAATATATATATATATATATATATATATATATATATATATATATATATATATATATATATATATATAGGTTATATTTCAAAGTATATCAAACTATTTGCTATTTTACTTAAGAAATAGATCTTTTAGTCAGTGAAAATTTTTCTCAACCTGATGTTAGGTCATGTTTTCATCTATTTTAAAGCCTCCTGTCTATGATATTGGACAGTTTGTCATCCTGTCAAATAGCAGTACAGCTCTGCACTACACTGAAGAGAAGCATTACAATTGGTCAAAAAAAAAAGTTTTAGTTGTAGTTTTTAGTTTGTAGTAACATTGTTTCCTCAACTCCTCATTCAATGGATCTGCTGAAAAGTCTGGCTTTAAAAGTTGATCAGTTTTCTTTATTAAAAATCACCTTTTTTACTTCCAGAACCCAACCATTGCAATCTATAGAACATTTATAAACAGACAAATATGTAATTTTAAACTTGCAAAGAACATTCTTTCAAGCTTGTGTTACAGGAAGCGATAAAATGTGCAAAGCTTTTTAAACATCAATTTCTAGTGCTTTCTAGTGCTTTTTGCGGTGAGTTATTGAACAAAACAGTCTCGCCAAAGAAAAATATGGAGGTAAACAGTCAGCGATACTGCCCTGTATGGTTCGTTTTACACATATAATGCAACCATATGTACCCGAATGAGCACATATTTCTTGGTTCTCAAAATTGTACACCAGGGCACATTTACCCAATGAGCCTCATGAACCTCATGTCAGGTCATGTTTTTATCTATTTTGAAGCCTGCTGGCAGTACAGCTCTGCGCTACACTGAAGAGAAGCATGGCAGCAGATTTTATTCACATGTATTGATATATTTGACAATATTCCATAGATTGTATAGAAGAAAAGAAGTATTGCATTTACTAAAAATAAAAAAATGATTATAAAATTGCAAGCTTTAAATTAGGACACTTTTAATAGACAAACTAATAATGTACATCAGTGGTTCTCAATGTCTACAATAAAAGGTGCAAATCTGAGTTTTTATTAGGGTAAAATGTCCAGAACAATTGATATTACATAACTTGTTTTTAATAAACATCCATAACATGCATCACAAGTCAACACTATTTAATTTTGTTTAAATAAAGTGCCATTTGCATTCAAAACACATTAAATACAATGTAAATGTGACCAAACCACTAACATGAGTGCATTTTTTGTACAAAACACAACAAAGGGTAGGCCAATAGTATCTGGATGCTATGGAGCTAGTGACGTCACTAGAGGTGTAGGGTTAGGGGTGGGCATTAAAAAGCATTGCTTACAGGCCAACTGCACCAGGTCTGCATCCAGACCTCTCTCCTCTCCAAAAAAAAAGTGAAAAATACAAAAGATGTGTAATGAAAACTTTAGGTGTTGTAGTTTTGCGTTTCTATATCTGTCTTTTGTGGAAACTGCCATTCACAAAGTCTGTGTCTCACATTTCCACTCTTTACAACTCCTCATTTGTCTCATTACAAATTAAGCAGAATGGCTTTGTGCTGGCCTGTGGCAAAATAAATAAATACTTATTTGTCCATTCAACTTTGAACTCTTGATTCTCTTCATCAAGTTTTTTTTCTCCCATGAGTCTGACATCTTCATCCATTCAAATGATCATTTTGCTGCAGTGCGTTAAGGCTGATTTATACTTTCGCCTGGCACCGAGTCGCAGACCTTTGCTGGCACTGTGATTAGTCACTTGATCATATGAAGCCTCGTATTTTCAATGGATGTCATGACAGCAGAGTCACGCAGGAAATCATTGAATATTTTGCCTTCGATTTTATTTCCACCTGTATTTTTAAAAAACAAAAATACAGACAACTAAACTGTTGATTTACAAGGTTTATGCATTTATCAATGAAGGAAATCCACCATTTAAATCCTTTACTCATGGTCTTGCAATACGAAATAGAGACGGTCCGAATTGAATCCCCTCCGTGTATTAAAGGGTTGTGATGCAACAAAGCGTGCTGGTCATACAAGCCAGTAGACAAGCTAGTCGACTAAAGTGCATTCCTTGATAAACTTGACATAAAGACCAACAATTTATATTATTTGAAATTTCATGTTTTTTATATTGTTTTTGCAGTACGACAGGTTTTACCTTCATTGAAATTGGCAAAAAAATAAAATAAAAATATTAAGACTTGTTGATTATTTTTTATTTATTCTCATTTAATAAACCTTAAGTTGTAAACCTTAAATGTATACTTCTTCACTTTTTTGGTCTGAAGGGGTTAATGAGAAACATCTGATTAAAAATTGTTTCACACCAAACCCTGCAATAATATAAGTTCACATTCTTATCATATATTTTGACCAAATCTGCAGATAAAGGCAAGAATACACTAAATTACAATGCACCCTAAATACACAAATACACCACAATCCCTCTCTCCAATCCTCCAAGAGGGTTCCAGTGCATCGTCTGAATGAAGAAGTGCATTACTGTTGATTCACTCGCCGTCCTGAGGGTTTTTAAATGCAGTCATTCAAATAAGCGTCATTTGTATGCTAAGCCTTCGAGGGGATCCTGGTCCATTTGGCTATGTTTTGGCAAGCAAACAGAGCCTTTCTCTGTGTGGAAAACCAGTCTGTGAATGTGCAACAGATTTTGGCAAATTCTACAAATTGCAAGTCGCTGCTGAGTTGGAAGAACAGCACAGTTGATGGGCAATAGGAGCCCATCAGTGTAATTATCAGTTATTTGGTTGCTTTCAGAATTCTTAGTTGTGTTTGCGATTGGCAAGACGAAGAACTTTATTAAAAGTAATATATTATATAATTATATTTTATTATCTATTATATTATATTATATTATATTATATTATATTATATTATATTATATTATATTATATTATATTATATTATATTATGTTATATTATATTATATTATATTATAAATCATTTTATTATTGACACAGATTGCGCTATTTGTGTCTTTTTATATTTCTTTTAAACCTGTTTCAACAATTTTATTAGGGGTTTGAGCACGATGCACTGAAACCCTGTTGTTTTTGTGGGATTATTATTATTATTATTATTATTATTATTATTATTATTGTTTTACTTCTGCCATGATTACCTAGTAGTCCTCACATCTACTCAGATCCAAAGACATGTCCAAATCAGCGCCTATAGTGCTAAAAACAAAACAAAACAAAAAAAAGTATTTTGACCCGCATTCGAAAATCGTTTGTTGTAGACACAAAAACTTTACATATTTGTAATCCTTGGGTCAGCCCAAACAAAAGTGAGTAACTTGGGTTTTCTCTACGATGCACCGTTTTTCTGCTACACCGAGCTTTGTCTGAAACCCCCTATTTTTTGCGAGCTAGTTTTTTATTTGTTTTTGTTTTTATCATCTTAATTCTTTGTTTTTTTATGTTATTTGTTTTTTTTTTTATTCTTGTTTATGTTAAGCACTTTAAATTAACATTGTGCACGAAATGTGCCATTTAAATAATATAAATAATATAATATAATATAATATAATATAATATAATATAATATAATATAATATAATATAATATAATATAATATAATATAATATAATATAATATAATATAATATAATATTTGTTCAATATATTTTTACAGAAAAACCAAAGCCTTACAAAGCTGACTCACGTTTTATGAAAGGCATTGTTTGCATGCCCTATATACCGCATATGACTCTGGCAATCCATATGCGTCTTTGCGAACAACACGCAACTGAAAATTGTTAATAATTACAGAAGCTTTCGACCGGGGGTTACAGCAGATTCACGACTTCCAGCGTGCACTTAAAGCCATTAGTTTGAAATGGAGATCCAGTGTGTTTGAAAGAGAAAAGCAGGCAGGCCTCTTTGGTCATGGGAAATTATCCCTTATGAAAGATGCCAGATTAGAGGCTAGGATAATTTGCCACGTCTTTTTTTTCAGCGAAACATACATTTCCCTAATTGCACATAATTGGGAAGTATGTTCTTGGCGTAAGACCACATAATTGCAAACAAGTACTATTAGCAAGGGGAGCTCAAAAGATGTCCTTATCCATTCAGCGTGTACTGAAACACACAGATGCCCCTCTCCAATCCCTTCCTCATGACGAGTACTTTCAAAAAAAGCTCCACAAATCCGCACCTCCCTCCGGCTAATTACCAGAGTAGAGATTTCCCTCTGCTGGCTCTCCACCGCATCGCCTGCCTTCTCTTATGAGGGAAAGCCAGGGATTTTGGGGTCTCATGCAGGTTTAATAGAAGCAGAGAGTTTAATAGAGATGTTTAGCAGCTAGTTGTTCGTTCGAGAAATCTTGATGGTTGACAAGGCCTTGTGTGATTCTTGGAAAACTAGAGGAAGAGTTTTCTTGATGGTTTTAATGGCTTGTTAAATTGCCTCGGGCTCTACTCCTTCTCTCTCTCTCTCTCTCTCTCTCCCTCTCTCTCTCTCTCTCTCTCTCTCTCTCTCTCTCTCTCTCTCTCTTTCTCTCTCTCTCTCTCTCTTTCTCTCTCTCTCTCTCTCTCTTCAGATATGCCTTCACCAGCTGAAGATAGGTCTCAAATCTAGAGGCACTGCAGTGACTAAAGCATGTGCTTAAAGGGATAGTTCACCCAAAAAGGAAATTTACCCATCATTTATTCTCCCTCAAGTGGTTTCATACCTTTATGAATTTCCTTTTTGGTCAATGCAATGCAACACAAAAGAAGATATTTCAAAAAATGTTACAATTCTTCTGTCTGGTTCTTAAATCTGATTGGCTGATAGCTGTGCAATATTTTGTCAGTAACATCACACAAAGGCCTCTTCGCCCTTCACCTCTGTGTATTACTCCACCCACATACAACAGGCAACAAGCAGGCTACAGTTTGACAAATATTATTGTTGTCAGACAACAAAATGTACTTTTGAGGCTTTTTTAGTCGAGAATGTAGTTGTTTAGATTGCAACTATGCAGTTTCTTTGTAAGAATAGTGCCTATTTTAAAATATTTACAATTTCAGAGAGACAGCTCGTCGGCGGCCAAAGATGGTTGACGTTGTCTATCCACAAGTAGGCGCCAGAACCGCATAATAAGCCCTTGCTCAGTGTGTTCTCTTGAGCGCGAATAAAAAGCTGAAAAAACGGAAGCCTCATGGTTTTTAAGGTGGACCGGATAGTCAATAAGAAGCTGCGAATAAGAAGCTGGATTCAGCCTTGTCCCTCCTTATCGCAAACACAACAGCAGTCTGATGAGAAATCTCTGTAGACGGATGGCATTTCATGTCACGTTCAGCCTTATAATCTTAAAATGTGAGCAAAATTGAATGTTTTGTCATCACCTTAAGGGGGTCTCACACCAGAAGAACCGCTTCACATTACACTATAGAGAATCATTCAAATACTAGCTCTAAAGTGACGTTGGTGAATTAGTAACGGCTTCTGCTGTTCTGACGTCAGCTGCAGATGTGAATGAATGGCGGAAGAAAGTAGCTCCTAATACAAAAGGGTTTTAGACTCTGTGTTTGATTTTCTTTTGATTTTCGTCGAACTGTTGTATAAACGCAATATCATACCAATGCAAGCCTCTCACTCGTGCTGATATACAGCCATAGCACACTGCTACTCGTGTGATATTGCTCAAATAAAACATATTTTATATATATATATATATATATATATATATATATATATATATATATATATATATATATATATATATAACACACACGCATATACATTATTAATAAAAGTTTATTCTGGATGTGATTAATTGCGATTATTATTTGCCAAGCACTACTAGAAATAAACAGTAGTATCACTGCATTTGTAGTATTTAATTCTTATGGATTTTTTTCTCTAGTTCTTATCAAGTGGTGGTTCAGGAGGAGCGGAAGCAGAAAGTCCGGCGAGCCACTGATGTTCTGGAGTGTTTCCCTGTTCCCGTGAGCTTCAGAAATGCTTCAATCTTGGATTCTCCTCACTATTTCGCAGCTGAACTCCCTCCGGTTAGCCTTGCTGTAGTTCAGCCCTTTACTATAGGGGACAACAAGACTTATAATGGCTACTGGAATGCTCCACTGTCACCTGCCAAAAGCTACAGCATTTACTTTCAGGCCCTGAGCAAAGCCAACGGGGTGAGTACTTCATTTTGTCTTTATTTTGTTTCCAGTGCATTGTTCTTGATAATTGTTGATGCTTGAGTATTGATTAGTTGATCTACAGGAATTTGGCTGTGTTATATTTGATCTAAGAATCATACAGATTGAAACAATACATTTTATTTTAACATATACAGTTGAAGTCAGAATTATTAAACCCTCTGAATTTTAGGCTCCCTGTTTATTTTTCTCCCCAATTTCTGTTTAACGGAGAGGAGATTTTTTCAAAACATTTCTAAACGTAATAATTTTAATAACTCATCTCTATTAATGTAATTATTTTATCTTTGCCATGATGACAGTAAGTAATATTTTACTAGATATTTTTCAAGACACCACTATACAGCTTAAAGTGATATGTAAAGGCTTAACTAGGCTAATTAGGGTAACTAGGCAGGTTAGGGTAGTTAGGCAAGTTATTGTATAATGATGGTTTGTTCTGTAGACTAACGAAAAAAAAATAGCTAAAAGAGGCTAATAATTTTGACCTTAAAATTATTTAAAAAAAATTAAAAACTGGTTTTATTCTAGCCGAAATAAAACAAAAAATACTTTTTCCAGAAGAAAAGAATATCACCAGACATACTGTGAAAGTCCTTGCTCTGTTAAACATCATTTGGGAAATATTTAAAAAAGAAGAAAAATACAAAAGGGGGCTAATAATTCTGACTTCAACAATATATATATATATATTGTAACTATAGTTAATGTTCAAATCTGATTTTTAGATTAGATTAGATTCAACCTTATTGTCATTACACATGTACAAGGCAACAAAATGCAGTTTGGGTCTAACCATATTGTCACGATCATCAGCGAACTAAAACACCATAGATCACTGGAAAACACTCACAAGCGTTAACGGACTACAAATCCACCATATCTGAACCATTGTACTCCACAATGCCATTACACCAGGCCCACTGGACAATAGAATATTACATTGATCTGTCACTGCAACTTAGTGAGTCTCCCTTCACTGTAGGAGAGAGTGTAATCAGTCAGGATCTGGAACGTGTATGTGTGTTCCGAGTGCATTTATGGAGTTGTAGTCCATAAAAATTGTGGATTTGTAGTCCGTTGACACTTGTGAGTGTTTCCTAGCGATCTATGGTGTTTTAGATTGCTAGTGATCGTGCCGCATATACACTACTTCTAATTTATTTTTGTTTCATATTTGCTCATTTTTTATTTAATTCTGTTTAATATTTCTAGATATTAACAATAGTAATTTAAATACCTATGATAAAATTTGTTGGTATTTAAAAACAAATAAAATATTAAGTTTTACTTGTATTGTACAGTATTTCCCCCATTTTAATTAATAATTTTTTCAATATTTTTATCTTGATACGGTACAGTTTTTTAGATAGAAAACCAAATCGAATTAAAATAATAGGAATCATAATTAGAAAAATAGTTCTATGTATGATATTCATTTTAAATCAAAACGTTGTTTTTATGAACTATGGCCTTATTAAGAAATGTAGGAGCCATTCACATATCCAAATATTTATATAAAATTAATTAAATATTATCAAATTTTATAAATGTAATCAAAATATTCAATTTATATATCAATCAATAATCATTCAATATATAAAATAATCATAAAAAATGAACAAATCTAAAAAATTATACACTGTAAAACCCAGCAGTCAACTTTATCAATCAAATGAGTGTACTTAACTCAAAATTGACGGAGTTAATTTTACTCATTTGAAAAGTGTTTTAAACTCTGTGTTTAAGGTAATAGGTTAATTAAATACCTCATTACTTCAACTTAAATGAAGTAAGTTCACAGTACTCAGATTAGTTTTTTAAATCAAATGGTTTGCAGCAATCGGTTTCCTCAAAGTTGTCTTAACTTATTGGGTTTTACAGTACTCAGTTGGTTTGAGTTCTCTTTATTTATTGGGTTTTACTGTATTCAAATTGTTTCATTTACCCAAATGGATTAAGTTCACAGCATTTAATAGGATTAGTTTTTGAACTTGTTATTTATTGCAATCAGTTTCCTCAAATGGTTTGAGTTACCTTCATTTTGGGGGTTTTACGGTGTAGTAATGGTGGAAAATGTACAATTTATTTAATGAATTTAATTCGTCAATAACTGTGTCCTGTGAAATTTTGCATCAACAAATCATCAGTTGAGAGGTGTTTCCGTTGTGGGGAAAAGTTTGATAGTAGTTTCTAGAAGCTAAAAGAAAAAAAAAAGGTGTAGTTCACAAAAAAACATGGCCTCTACTATGAATCATATTAATAAACCACAAGGCTACTTTAGAAACTGAGTATATTAGTACATATTTAGATGTATGTTTCCCATATCATTATTTGAGTGTCGGTAAAGGTTGTAGATGGGCCTGCTGCTGCATTGCTCTGTGTTTTGAAGTATGTGCTTTCCAATTTGATTGGATTTGATTCAATTCAATCTCTCAGTCTCGGGCGGCTGGAGAAAAGCACTCAAAAACAACCTCAGACCGTGACCCAGATAATTTGATTGGAGATTCATGCATAAAATATGGATTTAGGTTGGTAGTTCAGATTTGTTATCAACTTACCTTGTTCCAGGGGCACTCGTTGCAAATGTGTGCCATTTGATTTTTTTTTTTATTATTTCCACGAGGGAAAGTGACAAATAAATTCACAATGCGATTCAGTGCTGAGATTACCTGTCATAGTGATGGTTATTCAAACCGACTTGATGTAGCAGTTGTCATTAGTGAGTCATGTGTTGATTTGATGCATTTGGTAGAGATTGTTAATGATGTTTATAGGTAAAAAAAAAATACTAAATGATATCACGACTGTATACCGTGGCCACTAAAAGAATGTAGACAACAAAGCAACACTTAAAATAAATAATAATAATAATAATAATAATAATAATAATAATAATGATAATAATAAAAAAAATAATAATCATCATCATCATCGTCATCATCATCCATGCCGTTTATTTAGTTTTATTCCAGTTTTATTTTGGATGCAATAAATTTACATTTATTGCAGTAAAATCGAAAAACATTGCAAAGATTTGAAATTATATTTATGATTTAAAAAATTACAAAATAATACCATGGCTGTATACAGTACAGTGGCCACAAAAGCATTTAGACTAAAAGAGAAACATTTAAAATAAATAAATGAAATAAATAAATAAATAAATAAATAAATTATAATTATTGTTATTATTATTTTATTTTATTTATTTATTGAAAAAAATTTTTAGGAATTATAATAAGAATAAGAAGTGCAGTTGTTCTTCACATTGCAGTTTATTTAGTTTTCAGTTTTATTTGGAATGTGAAATAATAAAGAAAAATATTTTACAGTTATTACAGTAAAATATAAATATTTTCTTAAAATATTGTGAAATTTCTGTTCATATATCCTGTTTAATTCAAAATGTTGCTCAGTATTATTTTATGATTTTTCAGTAACTATTGTAATTTTAAAAGTTTAAAATACATTTTATTTTTACATTTTCTGTTTTTTATTTTAATATTAACGTTTTATCAATTTGGTTATCTTTTTTATTTGAAGTAATTATTTTAAATATCTGTATAGTTCTAATTGTTTTTCTCCTCTTTCAAGAATTCTTTTTTTGACACTTTCTTTAAATTGCTTTTCCACCAGTGTAAATAGCAAAGACATTCAGAAAGTCATGTCATTTTAATTGTCACTTCAGTGTGCACATACACAATTCCTAATGAGTAACAGAATGCGGTGCATTGCTCTCTAATGAACTATCTTTGCTCCATAATATCAGCATAAGCAGGCTAACTGTAGTCCACATTAAATTCACAAATCATCATCACTTCTCATGTGAGGCAAATGCCAGCATGACTTTTAAAGACCTTTGCATATGATTAAAGATGAAGTGTGTACTTCTGGGGGTGTTAAAATACTCTTTCTTATCTAGCTTGATTTCTTCCAAAAGACTCCATTCTCCAGTCAACATGGGGAGAAAACGACACACACCACCTTTAAATCCAGAAACGTTGTTGTGTCTTGATCTTTCTCCTGATATTTTCTGTTTTTCAGACCATTCTCTGTAAACCCTAGAGATGGTTGTGCGTGACAATCCCAGTAGATCAGTAGTTTCGGAAATACTTAGGCCTGCCCGTCTGGCACCAACAATCATGCCACATTCAAAGTCACTTAAATCACCTTTCTTCCCCATTCTGATGCTTGGTTTAACTGCAGCAGATCGTCCTGACCATGTCTACATTATTGGCTATTAGAAAATTGCATTAACGACCATTTGGACAGGTGTACCTAATAAAGTGGCCGGTGAGTGTAATGTTAATCTATGCTTTCTTTTGAGTTTTTACTGCAGATGTCACATCGTTAATGCTGGAATTGCTCATCAGTCTTTGGCAAAGATGGCAACGGAGGGAGGGTCCGGTCAGGTTAATAGTGGTCTCAATATTGTTTGAAGCTAAATTAGGATTCTTCTGCTTGGTTTTGTCCCTCCGGTGTGTTTGTGAACGGGACCGCAGACGCTCAGGCTAAAAGAGCAAGTAATTGCCGCTGCAGGCGTCTTTTGTTCTGGAAGAGGGATACGGAGTTGTGAAGAGCCACTCACTCGTTTAAGTGGCTGAACCCACACAAGACAGAAATTGAAACAGACACATGCAGCTTTTAGCAAAACGGAGCCCGCAAAGCACGTCGTGTCTTCACTGCGTGGCAGGTAAAAAGGAGCAGTTTGTAGCTCTTTGTTTCCATTGATGTGTAGCTCTAATAGGAACAAACACAGCTTGCATTTAAACGTGTCAAAGGTGAAATCAGGAGTGTGTTGTTGGACAACTATATATAATAATAGCTAAAACGAGCAAGCGAACGCATGTGAAGTCAAGTGCTGACTGGTTAGTTAGTGCTTCACATAAATGATGTATTTAAGATTCTGCACTATTTCTAACTCAAACTGACAGATAAGATGAGTTTTTAAAACTTCCAGAAAAATAGATTTG